TCCTGGTGGTATCCTGGTGCACCAGAAGGGCGTAAAAAGAACCAACGCCTGAGGGATATGAGGGGGTCGAACACTCAACCTTGAGATTAAGAGTCTCACGCTCTACCGATTGAGCTAATATCCCTTTTCTTGATAGAATCCATGCAGTGAAAGCTTATAAAGCAAAACCTTTTAAAAGTTGGTTTCTCTGCATTTCACGTGTATCTGTTTTTATAATTTCGTACTGGCAAATCGGTTTGCAGTTTGATTAATTTCTAAACTTTATTTTATTAAATTATGTTGATTACTATGCACACTTTAAGAAGTTTTTTGATATAAAAAACTTAAAACTAAAGATTTCAATTAAACTAGCATTGCAAAAATTGACTTGAATAAATTAACTGCACTAGCTTACACTCTACAACATTTACCTGGTTAATAAATCAAAACTGATTTGAACATTTTAATTCGCACACTCAACACTTGGTGGCTACTCATTTTTCTAATGATACTGAGAGGCTGTGCAGATTTTGTAGTTACTACCTGGTAACTAAATTCACATTCAATCTCATCACTGATTTAAACAAACGTCTAATTACTGATTAAAAATAAATAAAAAATAATTTTATTGTTATTACAAAAAATAAAAATGAAAAGTTTTAATCATTTGTCGGTGTTACTGATGTTGATTTTGACAAGAGCCATGTTTTTATAAGTGGTTGACCTTTAGGTGTTGTTATTTTTTTGTTTGGTTTTTTTGCTGGTTTTTTAGTTACTTCATTAAACTGAGTAGTAGATTGCTTATTGTTAAGCGATTTAAATATTTTAAATACATCTTGAAAAGTTGGATTTTTAGAAGTTTGTTTATCTGGTTTTTCAGTTGGTTTTTCTGTAGGATTTGTATTTTCATTTTCTTTCTGTTGACAATCTTTTGGAATGGGAATTGATTTTTCATGTGCTTCACTTGTGTGAATTAGTTTATATTTTCTTACATTAATGACAAAATTTTGAAAACTCTTTTTATTGGAAATCCAACTTATTTCAGGTCTTTTAAAATCCAGGTTTGGTGTGAGTGTTCGATCATGTATGTTTTCAATTTGGTTTAACTCTGCATTATCCATGTCGTTTTGTATCCATTCAATGTATTCTAATTTTAGTTCAGAAGAATATTGATCGTTTTTTAAAAAATCGCGAAGAAGCTCATTTTTATTTATTCTCGCAATATGATCAAAACTACCAAACTTATTCGGATAACATTTTTTGTCGTTTTTGTATTCTCCGTTGCTGTTGGGAATGCGCCAAAACCAGTTTTTAGTATTTTTGTCAGATATAAGAATCAAAACTTTTAAAAAAGATGTATCATCACGATTCTTTTTTACTTGTGTATATACTCGTGCTCTTTTGTACTTATCCATTAGTTTAATCGCTTCGGCAGCAATTTCTATTGTCAATAATTTTTTGTCATCGGGTATAATACCAATCAAAGCATTTTCGTAATCCTTTACATGAAAAGGACCAAGCAAATGTTGTTTTGTATCACCTGCGTCTGGATAGGTTTTTTCACATAAACCGCAAGAATATTTTCCCTTACTGAACTGTTCATTTTTGCCGCAGATTTTAAAATGTTGACCTAAATCGCTTTCCCACTCATATTTATCATTATCTTTAATTTCAGCAGGTTTGTCCAAATGATCTTCGTGCACTCCTCTGATGTGAAATTTTGCATATTCTTCAGAATTTGTTTTAAATTTGCAGTATTTGCAGGTAAACACACCCAAATTCTTGCAGCTTTTCCCCCCCAAACGATCGACTGGCTCGTGAAGTTCTTTTTCTCCATGAGTTTTAATATGTTCCGCACAGTTTTCTTTTGTAACAAAATAGTGCGGGTCTTCATCATTATGAAGAGGGCATTTGAACTGTCCAATTAAATTGTCTTCTGTCATCTTAGGGTGATGCGGAACATACTGGGCAAGCGACAATAATCGGTGATTGATTGAGTTTTCATGACGTTGAATGTTTCTGTATGATGTATATTTTGTCCTGCAAACAGGACAAAAATAGATTTCGGCGCCTTCTACCGCTTCACGATGTTTGTCAAAACTTTGTTTTGTTTCAGAAATTTTGCCGCAGTATTTACATTCAACTTAAATTAAACATTGTTAAAAATTTACATTTAAAAATTAAACTGTTAAAACTCACATTTGTTTTCCCCAGTAGGTTTTTTCTTTGGCTTAAAATAAAATTAAATGTTAAAACTTTGTTTTTAAAAAAACATAATCTTACTCGAATAGACTCTATTTTATAATTCATATTGACAAATTTTTCTGGTATTTCCAGTTCAAGTTTAGATCCCGATGATTCCAACGTTTCATCACCAGTGTGAACGACATTTGGGTTGTCTAAGATTAATTTGTTGAAAAGTAAATACTCAAACGAAGAATGAAACCTAGCTATTAACTGTGTTTCATATAAAGTACACTGATGTAAACTTATTCTATTTTGTGCAGCAGTTAATTGAGCGTGTACTTGTATTAATAAATTTGACAATTTGAACACATTATTATTGTTGATTTTTTCAGTTATTCTACTACAAACAAGTTTTTCAGCTTTAAGATAAGTTAAAGTTTTTTCAAGTTCTAAAATAAATAAAAATTATATAATAAAACAAAAATGTTAGTGTTTATTGATACTTGCCTTGAAATGATGCTTGTAGAAGAGGAGGATAAGAAGATAATGTTGATTTCTGCATAAAATTAATAAAAAATTTTTAGTTTGTAAAGTTATGGAGGAGCGCCAGGTGTGAGACGCTATGTAAGGGGAAAGTCTAATCACACAACAAACTGCCAGTTACAAGTAGTTTACTACAAGCTGATTTTGGGCAAAGTGCTTCCAGTCACCGATTTGTTTAAACACTTTATCAGCACGAATGCTTTTATGAGACTGGAAGTTTTGTGACTGTTTGAGAAGATGAGCAACGAGTGAAAACTGACAAATGAAGCTGATCACCGACCAAGAGAGCGACAGCTAGAAAATTGTGATTACATCGAAACAACAAAAAGAGGCTACTAATGCCTAACTGTGAGTAATTGATGATTGTCATTTAAACCGACAAAAGTTTCAGAAGTGGAGTTAAAGATACTGGCCTAATGCCGAGGAATGACCTGAGGAACTGCTGTGTTGAAAAGTTAGCCTGACTAACAACGAAAAACGTCCGCTACGCCAAGAAAGTGCCAATTTGACTGGCAAGGAGTGCCGTCACTGCCGAGATCGACCTGAAAAGCTTTGGTGTAGTTTTGAACTACTGCCTGGTGACGAGCTGAGGATGCAACGGCCGAGGAACAGATTGAAAAAATCGACTGTTGTAACCGCACAGAGAGTGACCAAAAGCTCCCTTAAGTAAGGTAAAAGTTGATGCTATTGCGGGCGGAGATCCGAGGAGTGACTGTCGCCGTTTGCAACGAGGAGCGGAAGATGGCGCATTGACCAATGGTGCGACGGGTCAAGATGGCTGATGATGCCCTCCAATGACGACAATGTCCGCCTGTGAAAAAGGCGTTGTGGTGGCCGTTTGTCAGCCCTGAGGAGGTTCCTGGAGCAACTGGTGCAGTTGACAAGGAAAAGTGGCCAATTGTGACGGAGAGGGAGTTTCCTGGACGTGATTACCGGACTGTGGTTGTTTGAGACGAGGCCATGGCGATGGCCCGCTACAAGGAGATGGCACCCGAGTGGGCCTGGTGAAGGCTCCGAGTGGTCATGATGCAAATAGCTACTGTGTGGCTCGGTGATGACTCCGTGTGGCCTGAAGTTGACCCCGAGTGGCCTGGAGTTGGCACCGAGTTGCTTAGAGTTGACCCCGAGTGACCCGTGAAAGGAGCTGCCCTAGATGGAGTGATGGCCCAACATGGACAAAGGAGATGCTACCCTTGCTGAAGAGGGTTGTGTGACAAAAACTTGCCAAACGTGATTGTGGACCAGTTGAGAACCTGACCAAAACTGACGGTTCAAAAGGTTTGAATCAGTAGTCCGGCTCACCTCTGCAAAGTTTTAGAGGAGCTCCAGGTAAGAAACGCTATGTAAGAGGAAAAATTTAAGCACAATAAGCTGCCAAGTTGTCTACAATTTAGAGTAAATTAAAATAAAGCAACTCAAAAGTTTTTTAAATGTTGATAAAGTTTCAAAAACTTGAGTAGGAGTCCAAATTTTGTGGCTAAAATCTCGTTTCAAAACTTATCAAAAGCAAAAATTTCAAATTTTGCTTACCTAACTAAATTAAAACAATAACAATTTTAAAATTTTTACCGTTGCTCTAAAAGCTTTGCTGCTACAAGTTAAATTTATAAAACTGCTTACCAAATTATTTTCAATTTCATTTGCTAGTCGA